TATATATATATATATATATATATATATATATATATATATATATATATATATATATATATATATTACAAGTGCAGTGATGATATCTGTATTTCTTTCTAGAAGATCTCGGAGTTCTTCTGGGCTTTTTAATTTGATTTCTTTTTTATATTTTTGTTGCTGCTGCTGCTGCTGAAAGTACTGCAGCAGCAGCGGCTGCATCGATAAAAACTTTAGCTTTTGCTTCGGCCTTCTGTCTCCGTGCCTCATCACCACCACCACAGTACGCAGCTCCTCCTCTATCCCTTCTGTCTCCTCAGCTGTCTCTAGCGCCATGCATAGACACCTGGGCATGCGTCTCCTGCTGTCTCCTGTCTCCTCCTCGACGAGTGGGGGGGGAAGGGGGCCCCCATGGGGGCCCCCAGGTACCCAAAACACACCAGGCAAGCGTGCATCCTCGTGCGGGCAACGACGCTGCTGCTGCGCTAGATACAGCTCCAAGTTCTGCTGCTGCTGCTGCAACACCGTTGATTGTGCTGCTGCTGCTGCTGCTGCTGTTGCTGCTGGTGGTGCTGCTGGTGCTGCTGCTGCTGCAGCTTCTGCTGCAACAGTATTTGCTTTCTCTAATACACACACAGCAGCATCACCATCTGCTGCAGCAGGAACTGCAGCAGCAGGAACTGCAGCATCAGCTGCATCAGCAGCAGCAGCAGCAGCAGGAGCAGCAGCAGCAGCAGCAGGCTGCTGCGAACCAGTATCATCGACGCCTCCTTCCCCGTCCCCACCACCACCAGAACCACCACCACCACCGCCAGCACCACCACCACCAGCACCACCACCACCACCAGCACCACCGCCACCAGCAGCAGCAGCAGCAGCAGCAGGAGCAGCAGCAGGAGGAGGAGCAGTAGCAGCAGGAGTAGGAGAAAAAGCAGCAGCAGCAAGAGCAGCTTTAGCAAATTTATCAGCTAATTTATTTAAAAAATATAAACGAATTATGCTGCTGCAGTCTTCGTAATATTTTATGCTCGACTTCACAAAAGAAAAACCATTCACGTCGCAGACAAAGGGACCACGGCTTGTACGCAGAATGTCAAACCTATACACAAATATATTTATATTTATTTATTTATTTATTTATTTTATTTATTTATTTATTTATTTGTTTGTTTATTTATTTTATTTATTTTATTTATTTATTTATACAAAAGAAAAACCATTCACGTCGCACACAAAGGGACCACGGCTTGTACGCAGA